TAATACAGCGCCATCTGTGAGATTTTTTAATACTAACGTGTGTATGAAAGCTCTTGTAGTGAATTTTAATTTAGGATTATACGTGAAATTAAAATATCAATTCACAGAGGGNCTAACGTGTGTATGAAAGCTCTTGTAGTGAATTTTAATTTAGGATTATACGTGAAATTAAAATATCAATTCACAGAGGGCGCTACCTTACAATTATTTACTAATGACAAAATTTTACATATACTTAAGACGTTTAGGATAATTGTATTTTAATTTTGGAAGGTTTCACTTCTACCACGTGTGAATTGCACACATGTATTTTTTTTAAGGTTTAAAGTACCTATATACAGTGATAGGTATTTGTCTCTATTAATGTTACTGATTTTACGGGTAGTACCGCGGTGCTGTCACTTTGAAGCAGCAACTGATTTAGGTATTCCATACCTAATCTGTGCTTTGAAGACTGGGGCAGACAATGTATTTTGAATTCCGACCTCATGTCTTAAAGTGGGTGGCAGCACGTGCTCCAGTATACCTTCACCCATCTAGGTACGCCATAAATAGCACATTTTTTTATTTTTTTTATTTGCTTAATTAGGTGGACGAGCTCACAGCCCACCTGGTGTTAAGTGGTTACTGGAGCCCATAGACATCTATAACGTAAATGCGCCACCAACCTTGAGATATAAGTTCTAAGGTGTCAGTATAGTTACAACGGCTGCTCCACCCTTCAAGACGAAACGCATTACTGCTTCACCGTAGAAATAGGCAGGGTGGTGGTACCTACCCGTGCGGACTCACTAGAGGTCCTACCACCAGTAAAGCACATTCTTGTTTTGTCCCTTATATTCTATTTAGTAAACATTTGGAACTATTATGGTGTGAACGATGAATAAATAGGTAATGAGTAGAAAACATTTCTTTTATATTTATTTATTTATTTATTTCACAGTTTCCATTAATACTGAAAGCGGTATCAACATTTACAATGTATTACATACGTACTTAAATATTAGAATTTAAATTTTATTGTTGTCCATAATACACAATATTTAAACAACAAATTGCTTTGAATATGGTGAATTTACCTTTTTTTCCCTACCTATGCTGATGGTCTAGAGTTCTAGAGAGATATATCAGCGTTACCGGGCTAGTAGTTGAGCTCACGGGGCTCAAACCTGACGGTGTTGCTAACACTAGCCCTAGCAAGAGCTGTGTGCTTTGTGCGAGTTTTTTAACTTTCTCGATAGCGTAAAAGTTAACCCAATTTTGTATGCAGTTGGAACAGCGCCCCTAACGGCAAACGTAGGCAAACGATCGCATTCCAAACAAATATGAGCTGACTTTTACGCTATCGAGAACGTTAACAAACTCGCACTAAGCACACAGTACTTCGCAGAATCTACCACAAGATCGGAAACGCGACCCACAGAGAAAATCCGGCGAGAAACTCAGTGGGCTCAAATTTAGCTTTGAGCTATTTAATATATGAAATCTTTTTGATGGAATTCCGCAAGTATAAAGTATCCGTCATGAAAAAAAAATTATGCGGTGTCGTGGGACACCAGGTAGGAACGAAGTTCCTTCGGCTAATGTAGAATCGACACAAATTGCAAAAAAAATCGTGCTCAATTTTATGTAGGTTTTCTTGATTTTTCTCTTAAATTTTGCTGATTAGTTTTTATTTAAGTACAAGAAAGTATTTAGGAAATTCAGTATTTTAGGAAATAATAAATTACTTAAAATAAAAANTGGGACACCAGGTAGGAACGAAGTTCCTTCGGCTAATGTAGAATCGACACAAATTGCAAAAAAAATCGTGCTCAATTTTATGTAGGTTTTCTTGATTTTTCTCTTAAATTTTGCTGATTAGTTTTTATTTAAGTACAAGAAAGTATTTAGGAAATTCAGTATTTTAGGAAATAATAAATTACTTAAAATAAAAAAACATCGTAATTTAAATTAACAACTAAAATAACAAAATATGTCTCTTTATTTTTGTTTGACAACATAAAATTACATAGAAATAGAAAAATAGAAATAATAATAGAAAGAGAATGGATGAGAGAACGAAAAGAAAGCGGGAGAAAGAGAAAGGTATTATACACTACTCGCTTGTGTATGCGACTGTCGCGCCTGCGCACGTCTCATTTAACGGTTTTATTCCACGCACTTTTTTCCACGGATTTTTTCTTACGGTTTTACTATCACATTTTTTTCAGTTCGGTCGCGCAGCAAAATCCCTATCACCTCCAAGCCTGCCGCAAGGAACTTCGTTCCAAAAGCAAAGCCAACATTAATGATATTGTCTTTGCTTTTCACGATTCGTAGGCGAAAATGAAAAAAACATTTACGGTATAACCATCTCTCTTTTATTGTTGTCATTTTATTATTTCCGATACTTTAAAGTTTTCGGACTATGATTTTTCCGAGGGGTGAAAGGTGGTTTAAGTGACATTTCGCTTAACACGCGACATTTATCTTTGTAAGTGCGTTTTATTTGGTATTAGCATCAACAGTTCGATGTTTTTAATTGAGCTTCAAGTAAGTTTATTCCATTCATATAGCTGAAGAAGTTTTTTTGTTATGAAATTTATTCCAATTTTTTTAAACTTTAATTGGCTCTCCTGTTAAGTTGCAAAAATGTATAATAATGACAGTAATAATGACAATAAATAAACGCGCGATTAAATAGTTAAAGTAATTTTAATTTTAATTATATCATGATTTATTTGCAGTAAGTGGTGTTCCATTGAGCCAAAAGACGACCCTTATTCAAAAAGACCGCTCTCAAAGCACTTTAGTAACAAATTTTAATAATTAGTCTCTTTTGGGTCGCAGGGAAATCGTTAGACTACTCTGGGATGGATATTTCAGAGTGCTTAGTGCGAGTTTTTTAACGTTCTCGTTCGATAGTAAAAGTTAACCCAATTTTGTATGCAGTTGGAACAGCGCCCCTAGCGGCAAACGTAGGCAAACGATCGCATTCCATACAAATATGAGCTGACTTTTACGCTATCGAGAACGTTAAAAAACTCGCACTTAGCACACTGATACCATCCCAAACTGAGGCCCGTGAATTCACTCATCAAGCCATTCGTAATTGGAATTACCAGCCTTAAGCTACCAGCGATTAGACAGGGAAAAACTGACTATGCGTTGCTATGGAAACGATGATGCAAGACAGTTAATTTTCAGCTTAAACTAGAATGTTCCAAGCCCGGTCGGCACCGGGCGGGTGGTACTCTGCTTAGTCATTACTATTGTGAGTCAAAATGAGCTGGGCTCTGTGCTTCTGTTCTTTTTTTTATTGCTTAGATGGATGAACGAGCTCGCAGCCCACCTGGTGTTAAGTGGTTACTGGAGCCCATAGACATTACAACGTAAATGCGCCACCCGTCTTGAGATATAAGTTCTAAGGTCTCAGTATAGCTACAACGGTTGCCCCACCCTTCAACCGAAATGTATTACTCCTCTACGGGAGAAATAGGCAGGGCCTAGGTACCCGTGCGGACTCACAAGAGGTCCTACCACTAGTAAGCCTTCTAAATGAGGTTTTGTACTAAATACGATCTCTTAACGCGATTTGACATCTGCATGTATAACTCCTTCCTCAATGTATAATCTGTGCCCTTCGTCAATTCCATCTGTGTCTACTCGATTGCAAAGGGATCTTTAATGGGCACAGCTAATACACATAATATTTACCTAAGAATATTGGGAGGGGATTAGAATCATTAGTAGGTAGATAGGTACCTAGTTTTATTACATTACGCTATTGCGCTTAAGTCTGGGCACATATACGCTCGTGATCTGAAAGGTATTAGCTAGGTATTTATTTACTTGACGTGGCGAAACTTTGACATTATAAGGATAAAGTCTTAATGTATTAGCACTGACTTTAACTTCTATAAAGGTAAATTCACATTTCAATAGCCTGAATTAATATTTATTTACATTAAATTTAATACCTTAAATTATGTATGTGACTAGAGCGTTTTAAAATATCTACAAATTTATAATAACAATATTAGAGTGGTAGTAAAATTGCCATACTTTTTTTTTGATGGTGGATTACTGGTCGTCTTTCCAGTTTCACCAGGACCGGTAGGGCGAGCCAGGTGATGGGGTTTGATAACAGTTGCCCGAGCGCCTCCAAAGGAAACCTAACAACTCAAGAGCAGCGGCTTCGCGAACGAATCTACTACCGGATCGGAATCGCGACCAGCTAAGAAGATCTCGTCAGAAACTCCATGGGCTGATGTATGGATTAGGTTGCACGTCGAATTCTTGGCCGAGTTCGACGAGTACGGTTACCAGAGTCCAGAAGTCTGGTCCTAGAGCTGAAGGCGTCTAATGCAAGATTTATTGGATCTGAACGAGATATGTTATCTGATCTATTTATTATTCATGCATGAAATTTAGTGGTAGCCCAAAAAAAACACATCATTTTTGAACAAGCTCGTATTGCGTGGACCCGTTATTTAATGACAATACAGCTCATTGCCGTAGTCCAACCAATTTTCTTAAAAATCGATGGAAAATCCGAGGAACACTTACATAAGTCGGTTGATTCTGCGATTCCGATGCGGTGAGAGGTTTGTAAACCAGCTAGTATTGGGTTATTAGGCCTCCCTCAACGGCACTCGAGCTAACAAATCAGGAGGAGGCTGCTAATATTATCATACTGTTGAAGGTTCTTGTGTTTTAGAAGAAGCCTTCAATAAAGGCCAACACATAGGCCTTTGGTTATCTTTATATCAAAATGCTTATGAAAGCTTAAAGATAGATAGACCCATAAAATCATATTATTTCCATTCCATTGCCTAGATAAAAAAAATCTTATAAACAAAATGTCATTCACTTTTACAACCGTCTGCATTTTTCATTCAGCCATCTTTTTTGAGACGTCATATTTTTAATTGCACAGATAATACAGTCACTAGGCTTTTTTTTTAATCCTCGCAGGTTTACATGTATACGGCCGGGAAGCCGCATCTCTGTAGATGTCAGCCGAGCATCCCTGCCGACATGTTACCGTGGACTCGCATGTGACGGTTCAGATTGCCAGATTGCGAAAACCTAAAAAATAGATAATGCTATATACATGGCTTTTTTCTTGAGATTAAAGGATCGTGGTGTTTCTAGGTACGTCTTAGTCAGGCTAGGATAGATGGACAAACTCAAGGCTGAACCCTGGTGGGGGGTTATTCACAGATTGCAGTAATCGACATGAAATTTAATATGTGTATGTACTCATTAAACCGTTATATCAAAATAGATTAGTAACAGCAAAATTAGATAGAGATGAAATACAAAGTCTAAGAACAAAGCCAGGGCAGAACATTTACAAAGAAAGCACATATAAAAATTTTTCTTAAAAAATTTGTCTATTTCATATGAAGTTTCATGCTCAACTTACCATTTGAGAGATTTAAATAATTTAATAATAATTTTATATTTTATATGCGGGCTTTAAATTATCGCAAATAAAGAATCTTTTAATTATAGAATCAAATGATTTTAATCAAGCTTAAAGTGATCACGTAGCTAGTTTATCGTGGATGATTTAAAAACATAACTTGTTGAACGCCCGAAGCTAACGAACCTACCTCAATAAACAGAGTTTGCATTGATAAGGTTTCTCTCCGGAGTGTATCCGGAGGTGCTTGGTCAACGTCGAGCTATCTGAAAATGCTTTTTTGCATGATCTGCATCTGTAAGAGAACGGCGTATTATTCAGTAGCTTTCGTTAAGAATTAACCCGGACAAGTTCAAGATAAAATGCGGTAAACGGAGTCCAAACAGTTTCCGACGTGACTGTCGCCATTCACAAGATACAAAGTCGAAGTTTTACTTTTGTAAGAAAAGAAGTGATCCTAAAAATTCGTATGTGTGTTTGCTATATGTTTGCCTCAATTTGTCTTTAAACAACAGTTGGAGTTTTAAAGATTTATTATCTTAAAATGTTCATTAAGTATCTACGTGTAATATTAGAACCGATTAAAATTTTGAATGCTCAATTTGAAAAGGTGATGATTTCTGCGATACAAACAGGCAGGATTTTGGTACTTACCCTTATCGACTGTATTTTAAAAATTAACACAAATTGAGGCAAACGTAAGCAAACACACATAAGAATTTTTAGGAAAATAAAGAGCGGAAAGTTAGCGTGGTATGGACATGTGATGCGTAGAGAGAAGATACATGTGACTAGGAGATGTATGGAAATGGTCGGGCACGGAAGAGGTCGACCAAAGAAAACAGGGATGGAGTGTGTGAATGACGATATGAGAGAGAAAAGTGAGTGCTGAGATGACGGCTGATAGAACAGAATGGAAGAGAAAAATAAATAATAGTTTAACAAAAATAACAATATACGCTTCTATAGAAAATCCAACTAAAAAATTGAAAATAAATTTTAATAAATTTGAATTAAAAATAGTGAAAGAAAAAATGATTTTATTGTAAAAAAAGCGTGGGGTGCATGGTAGTAGTGCTTATAAATATTTTATTAAGAGATATGAGTAGAAGGGTTATTCTGATAATATCCTGAAAAGCACCCCACGCTTTTTTACAATAAAATATTTTTTTCTTACACTAATTTTAATTCAAATTTATTAAAATTTATTTTCTATATTTTAGTTGGATTTTCTATAAAGCGTATTTTGTTAGTTTTTTTAAACTATTATTTATTTTTCATTTTTTCAATATTGAATTGTCATCGGTTCTTAATAAGTGTACCAAATTTCGAGTGAATCCGAGGTTTGGAAGGGGGTCAAAATCATGTTTACCTTGGTGAAAAAAAAAAGAAAGAACAAAAACGCAACATCGCATTAGCAGAAAACTTACTGATAGGGTCGCTCCCCTGAATGCGTCCGCATGTGTGTCGTCACGCTGGAGCTTTGGCTAAACCTTCGATCGCAGATAGGACATCTAGAAGTTTTCAACAAAGCTATTCATCACAGTTGCTTTGGCAGAATGATTTTTCTGTTTTTTTTATTGCTTAGATGGGCGGATAAGCTCACAGCCCACCTGGTGTTAAGTGGTTACTGGAGCCCATAGACATCTGCGACGTAAATGCGCCACCCACCTTGAGATATAAGTTCTAAGGTCTTAAGTATAGTTTTTTTTTTATTGCCTTTGTAGGCAGACGAGCATACGGCCCACCATCAGGTGTGGCGTACTCGTGTGTGGTGGTTACCGTCGCCCATGAACTTCAGCAATGCAAGGGGCAGAGCCAAGCCGCTGCCTATCGCTTGATACTCTCCACAAGCCTTGTTTGAAGAAGGACATGTCATAGCGCTCAGGGAAACTCCGTCGAGGGGAGCTCATTCCAAAGCCGGATGGCACGTGGTAGAAAAGATCCCCGGAAACACACTGTGGATGAACGTAGCGGTTCAGAATTCGACAAATTTACCTGAAAGGCTTCTGTCCCGTATGTGTCCTGACATGAGCCGTCAAGTTAGCAGCCTGGGAGAAGCTCTTGTTGCAATCCCCACAGCGATACGGCCGCTCACCCGAATGTGTCCGAAGGTGGGTCTTCAAGGTACTAGGCCGGGCGTAAGTTTTACCGCAAATACGACATAAGTTAGGCTTTTGTTCGTCGTCTTCCGAACATCCGCTTAAAGCTCCCACCTGATGATTTAAATTATTAGAATGTTTTTTTAATAATTGGCGGACTTAATGCCTAAGGCATGCTCTACCGGTCAACCAAAGGTAGTGCAGAGTAAATAATGGTAGGTGCAATGAAATTTATATTATATCACAAATACATACATACATATAATAGTTTATACACTATTAAAAGGAATATATTAATAAATTCATGACGATTCCGCTAATTTTTCCAACAGCATTCGCGGAACCCATAACTTGAATGCGCACCGGTTAGTAATAGTCCTGATCTCGAGAGGATTTTTTTCGGAGGATTCGAAATTTCGGTTTTATATCAATGTATTTTTAGGACCAAACTAACCTGAACTTTCCCCGCGCTCACACAAGCAGAATAATCGTAGTCCTGTGGGTGCATTGATGTTTGGTGGTTCATTATGAACCCGCCTCCCGCACCCTGGTCTTTATGTCCTTCTTGCATGTATATCTTCGAAGGTGACCTCTTCATCGCTAACGACTTCTGATTAGCGAAGTTCTGTTTTTGTTGGAATATCGCGTAGTTGTGATTTGTCTTCTGCGGGTTTTGGAGTATTGGCTTAAAGGTGGACGAGGCTGTTATCAGCGGATCGGATTGGTTGGGAGGTCGAAAATCTGCTGTAAAGGAATACGTGGCTGATGGATAGGAGTTGGGGCTGATCATGCTCTGCGTTTGCGGGTACACTACGTTCACGGAGGGCGTCGAAGGGTTTTGATTCCACTGTACCTGTGGATTAAATAAACTTGCAATACACTAATGTAAGCGGTCGTGATGATGTTGTTGGGAGGTGGTAGGACCTCTTGTGAGTCCGCACGGGTAGGCAACATCACCCCGCCTATTTCTGCCGTGAAGCGCTAATGCGTTTCAGTTTGAAGGATGTGGCAGCCTTGTAACTATACTGAGACCTTACAACTTATATCTCAGGGTGGGTGGCGCATTTACGTTGTAGATGTCTATGGGCTCCAGTAACGACTTAACACCCTGTGAGCTCGTCCACCCATCTAAGCAATAAAAAAAAAGGAAAGATATTTGCAGCACCAAACAGATAGAGTTTGGGATCCATAGCCTTGTATCAGTCTATTCCTATCCTGTACTGACCTGTGAGCACAATTGGTCTGGAGGGCAGCCATGCATTGTCATATTCATTGACACGTTGACGCTCATGGTGGGAAAAAGTGGAGCGCCCCCATAATGCTCGTAATATGGGTACCCACCATTGCTGTTCACCATCACCTGTTTAAATGAGAAATAGCTAGTGACGATGAACTTTTAGCTCTATGTAACTAATTTTTATAACATCAGAAGTCACCAGTATTACGGAAAATAAATTAAAATATAAGGTCTTGACTTATGATTTGTTTTATTGCCCTTGGAGGCAGACGAGCATACGGTCCACCTGATAATGAGTGGTTACCGTCGCCCATGGACTTCAACAATGCCAGGGGCAGAGCCAAACACCGCTGCCTACCGAATATTGCCTTGTAATAGCTATACGGAAATTTAAAGTTTTTTTTATATCTAGCAATCAAAATATGCACCTATGATATCGATACACCTCTACCAGTGCATTCGTAATTTCTCACTGCCCTTCTTGAAGAAGTCAAGTGCACGAGAGCGAGCTAACTCTTCTAAGGCATTCTGTCCTACTTCTCGGGTATTGAATTTTTACCCTAATATGAAAAGAAATTGTTCAATGTTGTGTTTGGAATGAGTGGAAGTCTTTTGACACGGGTTCTAGTAAGTACGGTGGATCACGCAAACCTCCCAATCCGCTTGTAGCGACTAACGTCCTACCCTTTAAGGGTAAGTTGTCGTTGGGAGCATTGTCGAGGTGCCACCAAGCTCTAACTAACCCGATGATCGCTTATGTTTATAAAAGAGATGCATTTTTCATCATTACGGACAATGTGGGTCAACATCCGTTTCTGTGATTGCTAAGCAAAGCAAGGCGTACCCTAAGATATTGGTCGAAATATACAGAAAAACCTATTACAGTGCAATCTCGATATAACAAATCGGAACTTTTATTTTAGATCTTTTAAACGGGAACAATTCTGTCGTACATTATTTTAGCGAAACTTTAACCGTTTCCACAGCGCTCGCAGCGGAAGCTCTCAAAAGGTAAAAATAACCCCGATTTTGAAACATTCTTTATTGGTGCTCCGCTTGTATTGGTCTTAGCGTGATGTTATAAATGAGCTATCTCATACTGAAAGAATTTTTCAAATCGGACCAGTAGTTCTTGAGATTAGCGCGTTCAAACAAACAAACTCTTCAGCTTTTTATTATTAGTATAGATATAGATTGACTATCAAGGACAATTCAAAGGGATTACGAAAAATTTGTTAAATCGAGCACGTCGTTATATTGAGGTTCGTTATATTAAGATTGCACTTTATTAGTTAATATATTATATCACATATATATATTTGGTTATTTATAAACTACCTTCGATCGAGCATACAATTAGGTACACAATTAATTTAAATTAGTAAAAAAAAGAGAGTGATATTTGTAGTAATAGAGTAGTAATAGTATCATTCCAATAACAGGATCCTAAAGGATGTAGTTCATATAAATCCATACATATATAAATAATGGTAGGGCTCTTGTGAGTCCGTACTACTGCATAGTATCATCCGTTCTGGTTTGAAGACTTGGAACCAGTTTCAAGTGGATGGCGGCATTTACGTTATCGATGTCTGATGGCTCCGGTAACCACTTAACACCAGGTGGATCGTGAGTTCGTCTAAGCAAAGCAAAATAACCTTATCCCAACTGAATGACCATCAGTACAGAGCTCAAAAAACCCGACTTAAGCCCAATCTAGAGTCTAAATAAGGCGAAAAACTTAGAATTGATAGAGCGCCTTATTGATAGCTCGCTCAGGTATATAGCACTACCCTGTTTACTGGTGGTAGGACGTCTTGTGAGCCCACATGGGTAGATACCACCACCCTGCTTATTTCTACCGTGAAGCAGTAAGGCGTTTCGGTTTAAAGGGTGGGGCAGCCGTTGAAACTATACTTGAGACCTTAGAACTTATATCTCAAGGTGGGTGGCGCATTTACGTTGTTGATGTCTGTGGGCTCCAGTAACCACCTTAACACCAGGTAGGCTGTCAGCTCGTCCACCAATCTAAGCAATAAAAAAATGCTTCATGTCTCGCTCATATAAATAACGGTTGTCGCGTCACTCAAACGCCTTCTTCTTCGCCTCAGAAACAAGCCGCCTACTTATTCAGGTCCATTATACGGTTCAATATTAGTAGAGAAAATCAGTTCCGTTATTTCTTATCAACATAAGAGCGTATCAAGTCAATGATAATTTAGATGTTCAATCATAAGACCTCTCAAATCCTTTCCGAATATTTCAGTAGGTATATATTAATACGTGAAGCAAAAACTTTGTATCCCTTTTTACAAAATTGCGCGGACGGAGGAGTATGAAATTTTCCACACTTACAGACAATATAGAGAAGAAGTGCACAATGCTAATATATTTTTTAAATAATGCATAAAAGATACATTAAATCAATAAAGAAAACATTACACACACTACATACCATGTATTTGACGCACACACGCATGCATACTATTTATTGTCAAACTTTTGTTCTTCACGTCTGTTGTCAAATTGAGAATAGATTAAATATTGTTTGTCTTTATTCATATTTTTTTATAGTGTAGCCTTGGCGAAATTTGTGATTATAAAAGTATAAAATACAATCATAATAGTGTACAAACTTACAATTCCAATTAATTATAGTCGAATTTCGACTGCTGCGGGACCTCTAGTATCAAAAGTTTCGCATTCAATCTAAATAATGAAGCCACAATCAAATATTTTAACTTCAAGTAAAAGATTTCGAACACAAACGGAAACTAAATCTGGTATTCAAAACGAAAACGAAGCCATAATAATGTCATATTCCATAATATTAATTACAATTTTCAGAAACCTATTCAACTAACCCCTGTTTTCTATATAGATCTAAAACTCCCCTTTTTCAGGGGACGCCAATACGAATTACTGTAGAATTGATAAAGATGGAAGACGAATGGGAATTGTCAAACGATTATTGGTCTCGCTTATTCGATTGGCGGAATGATAGGGGCGAGAGAGATGGTCCTACCTGTGGGTGTACAGCTTCGGAGGCGCAGTCTCCGTGGACGACCGCGTGCTTGAGTGAGAGGAGGACGTCGGCAGCCTCACCCCCGCCCCTCTCTCGGCACTCCCCCCCGTTGTTCCTGCTGCGATGAAAAATTGATTTCTGCTCTATTGTGTTATAATGTCAGACATAAATTGATCAATTGATCGTCTTGCCTATTTCTTGCCTTGCAATCTGCGTTATGGCCTGACGATGTATACAAGGGCCAAAAAAGTAATGATTTCATGAATTTAAACTTTCTCTAATTTTCATTTTTTTTGTATTTAGGCATTTTCAGAATAAAAAATGTTTCATCACAATCAAGTCAATCACTCATTTATTGATAATATTATATAATATTCATTTTTATTATTTTTCATTTTACGCATTTGATAACGTCGACACGGATGATAATTTAAATAGGAATTTAAAAGCTTAGTATTAATCTTCTTAGAATTCTTTTGTTTTTAATAATGTTCCAGTTCCAGAATAATCCAGTTCGTTTTCTTTTATTATTGTATAATACTGATTAAATACAATTGCCGAATTACAACACGCATTACTAGAAAAATAGCAAACACGTTAAAATTTGAATTTCGAACCAGTGACACAAATGAGATTTGGGGGGATAGTTTTTAATGTATAACTCCTAATTTACCAGTGTTTACGAATATATAGTTATAGAATCACGTGCCTGTTGTCATGACAACAAATTTACTGTACTTATAATTATGATAACATTAAGGTTATGAGAATTAAATCAAATAACTCTCTTTTGGGGCCAAATTTGAAAACGACCCACAAATAGGTTTAACAATAATATGTTGTGTCAAGGTAATAAATAGCTTATCGCAAGGCGGGCCCAGATCTGATCTCCTCTATGAACTCTATAAAATAAACGTATTATGGTTGTATCTATATCGAGAGGTCAAATGTTATTTGGTTTGAGCGACATTTTTGCAATGTGCCATTTAAAGTCTAAAATTTGGAAAGAATATCATAACAAAAAAAACTTCTTCGGCTATTTGAACGGGGTAAGCTTAATTGAAGTTCAATTAAAAACATCGAATTAATAATACTAATCTATATATATAAAAATGAATTGCTGTTCGTTAGTCTCGCTAAAACTCGAGAACGGCTGGACCGATTTGGCTAATTTTGGTCTTGAATCATTTGTGGAAGTCCAGAGAAGGTTTAAAAGGCAGACAAATATGAAAATGTTCGGAATTAAATAAAAATAACCATATTTTTTTTCGTGTGTTTATTTATCGACTGAGGAACTACGAAGTCTGCCGGGTCAGCTAGTACAAAATAAAACGGACCTTTAATTATAAAGATAACTGTCGCGTATCAAACAAAATGTCGCTTAAGCCAAATAGCCTTTAACCCCTCGATATGTATAATATTATTATGAGCAAACTTAACGTATTTCGTATAACGTATTTCCTATATTAACATTAACATTAACTGGTGTGATACAAAAATATTATGAAGCTTGATATTAATTTTATATTTTATATTCGCAACCATATTTATTTAGAAAATGAGTAAAACAGCAGTAATTTGACTGAGTTTTTTTCCCCTGCCTATGCTAATAGCCTTGCGAGGCTATTTCAGCTTCACCCTAGCATGTAGGTGAACTCAAACTGGAAGTATTACTAACACTGGCCCTAGCAAGAGCAGTAGGTACTTCACAGAATCTACCACCGGATCGGAAACGCGACCCACTGAGAAGATCCGGCAAGAACTTCAGTGGGCTTTGTCTATGAGTAGTGACACAATACAATGGCAATTTTATAGCAACTTACTTGTACCCCGGACAGGGGGAGAAGGGGAAGAGCGACGGCAGAGGGTCCAGTTCGAGCGGGGGCAGGGAAAACGATCCCATGTCCTCGGAGGGCCAGCCTTCGTTTACGTCCAGCACATCGCAAGGCGCGATAGCGTCTCCGAGCGCATTCAGCTCCTCCCCATTATCCGGACAGCAACCCTCGTTCTCTTGCTAAATAGAATAAGAAGTTCCGTTAGTGTTAAACTAAGCGAATTAATATTTGGGAAACGCGCAATGTACTACTGAAAACTGCTTTTGTTTTCCCTACCTAAGCTGATAGCCTTGAGAGGCTATTTCAGCGTAACCTTAAATAGTAGGTGAGCTCACGGGGCTCAAACCTGACGACGTTGCTAACACAAACCCTAGCAAGAGCAGTGCTTCGCAGAATCTATCACCGGATCGGAAATGCGACCCACTGAGAAGATCCGGCAAGAAACTCAGTGGGCTGTGTCTATGGGTTAAATCGCTCGTCGAGCCTTTCGTCGCGAGCGACGGGTTCGACGAGGACGGTGACCGGTGCTTGTGGTACCTAAAAGCACCGTTAATGGATCGGGAGGATCCGTAATGACGTGTTTTTGGTGACGTCGACTGTTTACCATTCGTGAAAACTGCGCGTATGCTACATTACGAGTTTTCTAAAGACCGTAAATCCGGCACATCAACTGTCTTTTTTTTTATTACGTACAGTGGACAGATGATGGAAGTAGCTCATAGACATATCACAACGTGAATGACCTTGAGATATAAAAAAAATTGACGTCTACCGACCAGCTTTAAATGTATTTTGTGTGAAATTTTAAAAACGTTGTTAGGTCAAGTGTTATTTATTGAATATGTTGTTTTATTATCACGTGTCTTCGTTTAAGCCCTGCTTAATATGTAATAATTGTAATATTTAGCATCTTAATCTTCTGGCTGAACCAATTGGATGCTCTACTTATTTTGCAAGTGTTCAGTCTTCAGCAATCATAGATGATAGATGCATCAACTAACTTTTTTTTTTTTTTTTTTAATGGCAATTTGTCTATTTACATTCAAGAATCGTTATCTCTGTTTTATTTTAAATCGGTTAAAAGATGTCAATTCAAAAGGGCATTGGAATCGCGGACTAGACTTAGTGTAATATGAAATACTCTCTGTTTGTCAAGTGTCTTTTTATAAATATTGACAAATCGCCGGTTAGTGTAATATAAAATAGTGTTTATTTGTTAGATTTCTTAATAAATGTTAACGTGCTTGTAAACTTCACCGTCAAGCTCTAGAACTTATTTTTGAGTTTGGGACAAAATTCTCTTACTCCTTCTAATTTATATTGCACTCTCGAACGCTGACGTCATTGTACAAAATAGTGCACTCTGATAAAATTGAAACCATTATGATTCACTTGTTGAATAATAAATTTCAATTGTTTTTTATTTAGTTCCTCACTTGTATCTATTGTTAAAAAAATTATCTATACAAAATAAGCACGCAGACAACGTAAATAAAATTGTACAAACGATTATAATTCAAATAGCAAATATTAAATAATCAAGTATATTGCAGATTTGTTTTGTTATCACCTCATTCGAAGTTATGTAAACAATATAAGATTATTTAATCTATTTTTACTGGTGGTAGGAGTTCTTGTGAGTCCGCACGGGTAGGTACCACCACCCTGCCTATTTCTGCCGTGAAGTAGTGATGCGTTTCGGTTTGAAGGGTGGGGCTGCCGGAGTAACTATACTGAGACCTTAGAACTTATATATCAAGGCGCATTTACGTTGTAGATGTCTATGGGCTCCAGTAACCACTTAACACCAGGTGGGCTGTGAGCTCGTCCATCCATCTAAGCAATAAAAAAAATGCGACGGAAAAATGTGAATTCTGGGAAGTCTATGTATTATAGTTCGAGCTACACTATATGAACCGTAGTGAACGTGCAAATCTATATATATAAAAATGAATTGCTGCTCGTTAGTCTCGCTCAAACTAGAGAACGGCTGGACCGATTTGGCTAATTTTGGTCTTGAATTACTTGTGGAAGTCCAATGAAGGTTTAAAAGGTAGATAAATATGAAAATGCTCGGAATTAAATAAAAAAATAACAATTTTGTTTTTCCTTTGATGTGTCCCCCGTCGGACGGATTCCTTTTGTTTGTTTTAAGTTTATTTTATTTTATTTATCGATTGAGGCACTACGAAGTCTGCCGGGTCAGTTTTTTTTTTTTTTTTATTGCCCTTGTAGGCAGACGAGCATACGGCCCACCTGATGGTGAGTGGTTACCGTCGCCCATGGACTTCAGCAATGCCAGGGGCAGAGCCAAGCCGCTGCCTACCTAGCTAGTTTTGAATAGGTCAGCTAGTTTTGAATAGGTAAATCTGTGGTCCGTACCTGACAGCACTGGTCCTCTCTTGGCTGTTGACAGTGGCACGGCTGCAGCGGATCGTAGCAGAGGCCACCGCCGCAGCATTCCCCCGCCTCATACTGCGGATTGTTCGGCATATAGCACTCCATGGCGCCGCCTTCTCGCGCATGATCATACGAACTGGGCGGAGCCTCGGTCCATTGTGATGCTGTTAGAGCAATTTCCGGCGTTTGTAATCTCGGGTCGGCATGGCTGGAAATTAAATTAATTTAAATCGATTAACTATTTTATTTTTTGCGGTCGACTCCAGTGCTCCAATGCTAATGCTACATCTTGCTGAAGTCACAACCATAAAATTAATAAAATAATAGTTTAAAAAAACTAACAAAATACGCTTTTATAGAAAATAATTTTTTCTTACACTATTTTTAATTCAAATTTATTAACAAAAAAAAAACTATTTTCAATTGGATTTTCTATAAAAGCGTATTGTGTTAGTTTTTTTAAACTATTATTTATTTTTCATTTTTTAGTTGAATTTCAACTTTCTCAAAAAAAAAAAATCAATTTTTTTTTATCTTGAATTATCATCAGTCCTTAATAAATATACCAAATTTCGAGTTAATCCGGCGTTTTGAAGGGGGTCAAAATCATGATCAAAGATTCCGTTACAAACATACATACGTCTGAAGCTAATAAAAAGCGTATTTTTTTTTTTTTTTTCGTCGCCCATGGACTTCAGCAATGCCCAGAGCCAAGCCGCTGCCTACCGCTATCTAATGAGAGACGCATGGCGTAAATTTGTTTTCGCTTTGTCCATTTCTTAATACGATGTCTCGTATATTTTACAGTTATCGTGGCAAAGGAAGACAGAAGTATTAATTTAAATCGTTTTTATAATTGAGCTGTAACAGTTTCTTAGCAAACGATTTTTATGTTTTGTTTTGTTGCTTGATGCCACTCAACGAGGAATGACCTAATTAAAACCTAACCTAATTAACTATGTATTATTTTAATAAAAATGTACTTTATTTAAAATGCACATTCGCCGGCCAATATTTTAGTTTTAGTGATTTAAATATAATTAGAAGTCAACCATATTGATCCTATTCATAACTGTCTATCCAACTATTAACTTGAACTAATGTAGGTATATTCAATTTTAGTCGGATTTGGATCGAATAAAAATTATTGTTCTAAAATAAAATAAATAAGACATTTTACAATTTAAAGAGTGAATTCCGTTAGTACATAGACAATTTTCTTGTATTGCCTATTTTAGTTAAATAATTACGCTTAGAGTATTTATCTTTTCATTTTTAACAAGTTATTATGGCTTAGTTACGAGGCCTTTAAGCCTGGTCTTATATTTTCTTATTATATTCTGTTATAATATGAAAAATGATATGAAGCGAAATGAGATGATGTTAATTAACTTGTAACTCTAATTAATTGGAATGAAATTAAATGAAATAATTATGAAGTCGTCGTGGCCTAAAGGATAAGACGCCCAGTGCATTCGTATCAGGCAATGCAACGGTGTTCGAATCCCGCAGGAAGGTACCTAAACATTTTTTAAATGAAATTCGTGCTTAAAAAATTTTCACAATTTTTTTTATTATTGCTTAGATGAGTGGACGAGCTCACAGCCCACCTGGTGTTAAGTGGCTACTGGAGCCAATAGACATCCACAACGTAAATGTGCCACCCATCTTGAGATCTCAGTATAGTTACAACGGCTGCCCTACCCTTCAGACCGAAACGCATTACTGCTTCAGGGCAGAAATAGGCAGGGTGGCGGTACCTACCCGTGCGGACTTACAAGACGTCCTACCACCAGTAAAAGTCTAACATTGTGTCCAACATTACTATCTCAAGATTTGATCAAATTTATTATAAGACCATTGTAAATCTCATGCGTTTTAGGTGAATAATATACCTAATGCCATTAATTAACCATAAAAATATGTATTTTGAATAGTTTAAAAACTAAAAAAACACGCTTAATTAGCAATTACGGAACTAAAAATTATTTTCATTATTTCATCGTCTGCCTGTATTATTAAGCAAACGGTTCGTCAATATTGGATCAAACACACCAGCTTAATCATATTGTAGACTAAATCGTCTCGACGGCTAGTCCCGTCCGACGGATTTTAAGGATGATGTTAAAGAAAGGGTCACGGGTTTCTAGATTATATTCGACTAGCAACCCGCCCTCGCTTCGCTTCGGAAACTGTAATTTATTATTGATTTCTCCAATATTTAATGGATGTTATTATACATATGAACCTTCCTCTTCAATCACTCTATCTATTTAAAAAAACCGCATCAAAATCCGTTGCGTAGTTTTAAAGATTTAAGCATACATAGGGATATAGGGATAGAGAGAGCGACTTTGTTTTATGTAGGTATGTAGTGATGTTAAAGTATGATTTAGTTGTGTGTGTGGTTTAATTTATAGCCAAAATTTTAGACATTGGACTTTTTTTTTACAAATTAAGCAAAGCTTTACAAATTAATTAAGTGAAGACTTTATTATTTTATTGGCCTTGTAGGCAGACGTGCATTATTTTTACGGCCCACCTGATGGTGACCGGTTAGCGTCGCCCATGGACTTCAGCAATGCCAGGGGCAGAGCCAAGCCGCTGCCTACCGCACATATAGGTTTTAAATAGATTTGTGAATGTTATGATTCAATGATGATCCAATCGGTTACGATTACTGGTGGCCCGGAGGCCTTTCCAGTTCCACCAGGACAGGTGGGCGAGCAAAGGCTCAGCCAGGAGGGATGGGATTTGCTAACAGCTGCCCGAGCGCCTCCGAAAGAGACCTAACAACTCAAGAGCAGCTGCCTCGCGAATGAGTGTAGGTACTACCGGATCGGAATCGCGAACTTAATTCTCACTCTGTACGTAGGCATATATGTACTTATTATAGGTACTAATAAATGAATAAAAATAATTATTATTCAGGTAAAGCTACTTATAAATAGAAAATCTGCGTTAGCTCACCGCCGGTTGGCAGAGTTCCCAGAAGGCTGGCAGCATTTCCACGCTGGATAGCAATGCTAATTCTTTGTGCAAAATATGTACCGGCCTTCTGGTCTCCCGAGGCCTCAAAAAGTTTTTTTTTAAGGTCCTTAAAAAAGCTTTTAGCAGATGGGCCCCAGGGGCCCAAAGCTTCCACCCCAAACGGAACAAAAATGAAATCTTTAGAGAGATTTTCATATTTCCGTCGTTTGAGGCCTTCAGCCGTTGAAGCAGCGCTGCCAGCGTTAGAATTAGTCTCAGGAAGATGTGTCGGTGCCATGGTATCTACACAAGTCGCATCCCTAACGAGCGACCGACCCATCTTCCAGGGAATTATCGACATACCGTCTGGTCTCTTACCATCGCTTCGCACCAAACCATTCGGTTCTAGAATGGCTGGCATAAATATAGGTACTAATTTTTTTCCGGATACTCGTAACACAACATAAAACTCTAGCTCGAAACTGTCGAACGATGAAAGCTAATAAATAAATGCTTGTTTATTTCCTGTATTACTAACTGGTATGCCATTTTCGAGTGGCTGGTCATTCAGGGCGGGTGCGTTTTTTTTCTACCTATGCTGATAGCCTTGAGAGGCTATTTCAGCTTCGCCCTAACGTGTAGGTGAGCTCACGGGGCTCAAACTGGAGTGTTGCTAACACTGGCCCTAGTAAAAGCAGTGCCTCGTAGAATCTACCACCGGATCGGAAACGCGACCCACTGAGAAGATCCGACGAGAAACTCAGTGGGCTGTGTCTATGGGTTAATTCGCGTATCGAGCCCTTCGTCGCAAGCGACGGGTTCGATGGGGACGGTGACTGGTGCTTGCAGTACCTAAAAGCACCGTTAATGGATCGGGAGTGGACGTATTTTAGGCGACGTCGACTATTTATCATTCTGTCCACAGGATCGGGTATGTAATTTCCAGCGGCCACGACAAGAGGGTTCTCATGTCGTGCCGCCTTCTCATAGTGGGGCTGGTGCATGTCACAAACCGCACGGCAGGTCTCCAGTAACGTGACCTGACGAAGTGGAGGCTACAGCGAATTGAGGATTGACGACAGATAGTTATTAGTGACTAAACACAGGACGGACACTACCAGTCTACTGAGAGCTTAGCGACAAAGAAGATAAAAAGAGGCTCTGAGTTCATGCAAGTTGGTAGTTTATTCAACACAAGATTACTCATCATTCATTGATTCTTAACGTCGTTCTATGCCAAGATCCGTTTGCAAGTATAAAGAAAATCTGACAAAAAAACTTAGTAGGTCTAAATTGTCGTTTAATAGAGAAGTTATACGGCTAATATCCATATTGCTACTGGTGGGTTTTTTTTTTTAATTTATACTGACCTTTGGATAATGGTGATCCAAAACGAAAGTATCCAGATAAACTCACACAAACAAAACAATAAATTATTATAAATTATTTTAACGAGTACAACAATTCACTTTTACACATAACGCCGTTCGCTAATTAAATTAAACGTCCCGAACGAAGCATGCGCCATTGTCACGATGAGAAATAAAAAAATTAAAGAATACACTATTATTTACCGAACTTCAGTATTAATCGAAAAATAAAAAACATTCAAATTAATTTAAAAAAACCGATAGACATTTTATCGTTACCCACGAAAATATCTAATTAATTTTCGAATAGTGATAGCGGACAAGATGATCACTTAACGCGTTATCGATGGTGACTAAATGGCTATCTTGTATGCACAACCCGCCCCCGTGTAATTGGCTGTTTGTATCCAACCCCTCGGCCTGTAAAAAAAACATGACATATTGTTGGCGGGAAAACCTGTCGCCGCGTATCTGGTTAACATGGCGCGCGGAAGCTATCGGTTGCGGTGAGAAACACTTATGCGGTGTGAAGCTGTTTAGATAACTAATTGAGATAATTCTAACTTTTAATTAATTTTTACTTTTAATTTCAACTTTAACATAAGAATTCAATGAGGTCTTAATATTAATTATGAGTGACCGTTACGCTTTCAAAATGGCGTTTGAGTGTGCTAGAATAATCTGTTAAAATTTCAGCACTCGTTTAAATTATTACTTATCTTAATACTCATGAGCTTTATTACATGTGGGTTTTATAGTAGTTGC